ATTGTTACTTATGAAAAAGTTTTCAGTGTTCAATTGATACATTTTTCTACCTATAAAAATTATTCAAACCATCCATTTCTGATAAAAATGCTCAGCAATGTGGGAATAGAGGGATCATATCTCAACATAATAAAGGCCATATATGAAAGACCTACAGCCAACATCATACTCAATGGGCAGAAACTAAAAACATTTCCATTAAGAACAGGAACAAGACAGGGACGTCCACTTTCGCCACTCTTATTTAACATAGTACTGGAAGTCTTAGCCACAGCAATCAGACATGAGGAAAAAATAAAAGGGATCCAAATTGGAAAGGAGGAAGTGAAACTTCCTTTGCATATGACATGCATATGCATTATTCCTTTGCATTATTTGCATATGACATGATATTATACATAGAAAACCCTAAGGACTCCATCAAAAATCTACTAGACTTAATAAATGAATTTTGAAAAGTAGCAGGATACAAAATTAATGTCAAGAAATTGACGGCATTCTTATACACCAATGATGAACTCACAGAAAGAGAAACTGAAAAAACAATCCCATTTACCATCGCGGCAAAACAATTAAGATACCTAGGAATAAACTTAACCAAAAAAGTAAAGGACCTATTTGCATAAAACTACAGGACATTGAAAAAAGAAATAGAGGAAGATATAAAGAAGTGGAAGCACATACCTTGTTCATGGATTGGAAGAATTAACATCATTAAAATGTCCATACTACCCAAAGCAATCTATAGATTCAATGCAATCCCCATCAAAATACCAACGATATATTTCACAGAACTAGAACAAATACTTCAAAAGTTCATATGGAACCAAAAAAGTCCCCGAATAGCCACAGCAATTTTGAAAAAGAAGGACAAAGTAGGTAGGATCACAATACCAGATATCAGGTTATTCTATAAAGCGACTGTAATCAAAACAGCCTGGTACTGGCACAAGAACAGGCATATAGACCAGTGGAACAGAACAGAGAACCCAGAAATGGACCCAAGGCAATATGCTCAATTAATATTTGACAAAGGTGGTAAGAGCATACAGTGGAGTAAAGACAGCCTCTTTAATAAATGGTGTTGGGAAAATTGGACAGCTACATGCAAAAAAATAAAACTAGACCATCAACTTATACCATACACAAAAATCAACTCAAAATGGATAAAAGACTTAAATGTGACCCGTGAATCCATAAAAATTCTAGAAGAAAATGTAGGCAACAAAATTTTGGACATCATACGCAGCAGAATTTTCACTGATACATCACCTAAAGCAACAGAAACAAAGGAAAAAATGAACACATGGGACTACATCAAACTCAAAAGCTTCTGCACAGCAAAAGAAACAATCATCAAAATGGAAAGACAACCCACTATATGGGAGAACATCATTGCCAATGATATATCAGACAAGGGGTTAATTTCCAATATATATAGAGTGCTCATAGACTCAACAAAAGGAAGACAAAGAACCCAATTAAAAAATGGGCAGAGGAGCTGAATAGACGCCTCTCCAAACAGGACATACAAATGGCCAAGAGACATATGAAGAAATGCTCAACATCACTAATCATCAGAGAGATGCAAATTAAAACAACAATGAGGTATCACCTCACACCTGTCAGAATGGCCACCATCAACAAATCATCAAACAAGTGTTGGCGAGGGTGTGGAGAAAAGGGGACTCTAATACACTGCTGGTGGGAATGCAGACTGGTACAGCCACTATGAAAAACAATATGGTGTTCCCTCAAAAAATTAAAAATTGAACTTCCATTTGACCCAGTGATCCCGCTTCTAGGAATATACCCAAAGAAGCCTGAAACACCAATCAGGAAGAATATATGTACCCCCATGTTCATAGCAGCACTATTTACCATAGCTAAGATCTGGAAACAGCCCAAGTGTCCATCAGTAGACAAATGGATAAAAAAGCAGTGGTACATATACACAATGGAGTACTATGCAGCTGTAAGAAAGAAAGATCTCTTATCTTTTGAGACGACATGCAGGGACCTGGATAGTATTATCCTAAGTGAAATAAGCCAAGCAGAAAAAGACAAATACCACATGATCTCACTTATATACGGAATATAATGAACATAACAGTCTGAGGAATATGGTAGACCCAGAGACGTGGAGGTAGGGTACAGACTGACAACCCTCAGAAGAGGGGGAGGAGGGGGAGGGAAGAATATAATCACAGAACTTATATGCATGTACGCATAACCAATACACATGGACAACAAAGCTGGGGACGGGGGCGGGGGTGGGGTGGGGAGAGGGGTGTCAATGGGGTAAAAAAGGAGAAACATCTGTAACAAAAAAATAAGTTAAAAAAATTAAAATTAAAAAAAAAATTATTCAAGTATTCTGGGTTGAGATGAAATATACCATAATATTAGTGGAAATAATTTTTACTTAATGGCTTTTGATTTGGCAGCAAGGATTTTAGAAATAATTTTTTATCCTCACTCGAGGATACTTTTCTATTTATCTTCAGGTAGAGAGAAAGGGAGAGAAAGAGAGAAACATCAGTGTGAAAGGGACACATCAACTGATTGCCCCCAGCACAGGGCCAGGGACGAACCGCAACTGAGGCATGTGCCCTTGGCCAGAATAAAACCCAGGCCTCATTGGTTCACGAGCCAACGCTCTACCACTGAGCCAAACTGGCCAGGGCAATTTCAGGAATAATTTAAATTAATCTCATTAAATTCATTAAACAAATGGTAGTTATATTTTTTCCATCACCAACTGTAATCACTCTGGACACCCATTTGTTCACTTGTTTATGATCTCTCCTCGCTTACTAGAATGTAGGCTCGCTGAGGCAGAATCTTTAACCGTCTTCTTCACATTGTGACATGATCTAATTTACATTTTAAGATTATTCTCACTTCTGGACAGAAAACAAGAGTCCAGGGAGCAAACATGGAAGAGAAATCTATTGTAATAATCTAGGTAAAAACTAAAGGAGATTAGAGCTGGGTTTTAGCAGTAGAGATGGAAAACGCAATTTGGGATATATCAATATTTCAGGGGAAGAAATAACTAATTAGTAAATGACTCATTAGGGATCAATTAAGATTTCTAACCTGAGCTGATAGTGGTACTACTGCCTGAAATGGGGAAACTAGAGGAAGAATAGATTTGAAGAATAGGAAGAAACAACAGGATTTCAATTTTGGACATGTTAAGCCTGGGATGCTCATTAGGCATCTAGATGGAAATGTCATAGAGATCACAGACTACCAAATCTAGAACATAAGGGAGAGGCCGAATGAGGGCTAGAGCTACACATTTAAGAGTCATCAGCAAATAATTACCATTTAAGGCCTTTGGGATGGATTAGATCACTGAGAGAAAAGAAAGACAAGACGGGGGGGGGGGGGGGGGTGAGGGCCTGCCAACATGATAAACAGGCTTCCCTCTTCTAATCTCCTTCTTTATTAATGACTCTATTAAAGCATTTTTCAGTAACACCATAATATTGTCATCAAAAATTTCATGACCAATTTCTACACCCCAATATACATATATATGGCTTTAACATTCACATTTGACCATACTTGCAATATTCAGATCATAATCTCCAATATAAGAAAATCTCTGAAGACTCCCCGAAGAGAAATAAATGACAAATATCAACCCCAAACCTCGTTTATGAAGAGATAAGTAAGAGTAAAAGAAATAAGAGCTAAAAGAATAGGGAACAAAAGAATCTATTTTGAAGGTAACAGAAATAACCTCCACAAAATACAAGAATGATAGTACTTTAAACATATACCATACCAAATAATAGATATCTTAAATTTATAATATGCATTATATTCTTTTTCTGAAAGTTGTAACTACAAAGTCTGGAATACACAGTTGTGAATGCACTCTAAATGGCATGAAAACACAAAAGTTTTAATTCAAGGAATTTTAACAACTCTCCATCTTCCTGCTGTTTCTGATTTCTATGGAAATGGACAGAGGTAAATGCTGGAAAAATAAGGACAAGGCACTTAAAACACCTTCTATTCAGAGGAGTGAGAAACAGCTGGCAGTCAGGGTGAGAACTGGTAGTGCTGAAGTCAATTTATGCTTCTGGAACTAAGTTTAAATTTAGTGTAGACACAATCTTAACACTAAATTCTCACTCCATCTGCCTTCCTGCAACAAAATAAGGCTCAGTCTTGGTTTAATTCAAAAGAAAAAATACTACATTATATTAAAATCTAGTTTTCCTATTATTTAACTATACAACTCATACACCAAAATTTTTCTCCAGCATCATTTGCATAGTACTAAGTTAATCTTATTCTCTTTAATATGAACCTAATTTACTAGGTGAAAAACTACCTATACTCTCTTTGGAAACAGAATATTATCCTTTACATATAAGACTAATTAGTAATTAAAGACTTAAGTCTAGGTAAATGCTACCCAATAAAACCAAATACAATTTAGTATCCTCACAAAAAGTAGACTAACTACAAAATCAAATAAATGCCGGACACTAACCCCAACATGTGTGAATTCCAACTTCTAATTAAGAAGCCAACAATGATTATGTTGGTAAAGTTCCTATGTCTGTGTCTCTTCACCAGTGTCATCACTAACACTCTACACATAGGTGTAATACAGCCCATCAACCCCATAATTTCTACTAAAAACAACTAAGTGAAACAATTACTCTGGGAATAAAAATATGTATTTCATGCATGAAACGTGAAAGGCAAGAAGGTCATCATATCTTCCACCCACAAGATACAAAAAATAGGTAAAAGAGGATCATTTTACACAACTGAGTATACCCACTATTGAATTCTCACTTACTCCAAGAGTCAGAAAATAGGTAATGATCAGCAGGATAAGACATTTATCATATCCTAAGTTTTAAGCCACAAAATCAAATCTGATATAACAGCTGACTTGAATACATATTTTAGTGTCAAAAGGTTAGTAATCTTAGAAATATTTAAGAACTGAAATAACTTACTCTTACCTTTGCAGACACTCAAAATCATACCGCCTGAATTTTGCACTTCATCAAATTTGGCAAATATAGTTTCTAATCTGGGAATAAAGAATAAATTTTGTTTGTTTTACATACACTTAATGAGAAACAGTTCCTTTTACCATCTCCCTGAGAAAAACACAATTCCAGGGATTCAGTTGGTTCTATATAACTCTCTTTTACAATGAACTCACTTACTGAAAAGAAAGATAAAAACCCATCTCTCTTCAGTTGAGAGAACCAACCAAATACAGGCAGCACTCTACATACTTGCAGGTATATTTGTGAAAAGATAACTTTCACACAAAGCAATGTCCATGTTTCATCATAAAATTAGAAAGGGAAGAGGCCATTGTCATGTTGTCTTTAACTACCAAATATTTTTCTAATTTACCCTTATGTTTCTGTCACAAATTAATTTCTAAAGTCTTAGTTTTCACATTTAAGTCTAACACCTTAGGTCCACATCTTGTCATTTTACTTGCAAAATGAGAATGCAGATACTTGTTGGCCTAAAACATATTTTTTCGTTAAAAACCTTCTAGGAATTCATTATATAGGCATACCTTGTTTATACCTTATTTTTTCCTTTGCATGTCCTGACCGGAGATTGAACCCACAATGTTGGCATCAGGATGGCACTCCAACCAACTGAGCTACCTGGCCCTGGCCAGGCATACCTTATTTTATTACATTGCCCTTTACTGCATTTTGCAGCTATTGTATTTTTAAAAAATTGCATTTTTTAATAAATTGAAGGTTTGTGGTTACCCTTTGTCTAGCAAATCTATTGGCACTTCCATGTCTATGTCAGTCTGGTAATTCTCACAATATTTCAAACTTTTTCATTATTATTATATTGCTATTTTCCATTATTATTACTATATTTGTTATGGTGACCCGTGATCTTTGATATTACTATGTAATTGTTTTGGGGTACCATGAACTACAGCCATATAAAATAAAGAACTTAAATGACAAATGTTGTGTGTGTTCTGACTGCTCCACTGAGCAGAATATGATCACTATGAAAAAATAATATAATTTTCAGCCCTGGCCGGTTTGGCTCAGCGGTTAGAGCATCAGCCTGCGGTCCGGAGAGACCCGGGTTCGGTTCCCGCTAAGGGCATGTACCTCGGTTGCAGTTTGTCTCCGGCCCTGGTCGGTTGTGCGGGTGGCAGCCACTCGATGTGTTCCTTTCACATCGATGTTTCTCTCTCTCTCTCTGTTCCTCTCTCTCCCTCCCACTGTACCTGAACAACAAAAAAAAAAAAAGAAAAAAAAAGAAAAAATAATATAATTTTCAAATTATTACAATATCAGTATAATGTTACATTAAATGTATTATACTGAATTCATTATACTGAATTCTTGCGAATGAATGCTAGTGGAAAGAGGAAAACAGTTAGTGGAACAATATCTGAAGAAATTGGTAAAGCAGACTTCCGGTCAAGATGGCGGGTAGGTAAACACGGTATCCGGCCTCCCACAACCACATCCAAGTTACAACTAAACTACAGAACCACCACCATTCAAAACCACCTGAAATCAAGCTGAATGTAAGTCCTACAACTACGGGATTAAAGAAGCTGCATTGAGACTGGTAGGAGGGGCAGCAGCGCGACAGGCTGGTCCCACACCCACGTGTGGCCGATAAAAATCAGGAGGACACCTCGGCTGGGAAGGTCCTCCCTGAGGACAGAGGGGTCCCCGTCCCACACCAGGTGCCCTGCTCAGGGTTCCAGTGCCAGGAAGAGAATCCCCATAACTTCTGGCTGGAAACCAGCGGGAACTGAGGCTCAGGGAGGCTGAGGCGGCTGGAGCCCCAGGCAGCTCCTTAAAGGGCCCGCGCACGGACTTATCGGACTCTCTCCCTCTAAGCTTGGAGGGGAGGCAGCTCCAGGGGCGCCAGAGACACACAGGGAAGAACTGAGCTGTTTGGCACTGGAGCGAGGGCTGGAGAGGGGGCTTTCTCCGGGACAAATGTGTTGTCAGAGGCCTTTATTCCTTTGGTGAGCCCTTCCCAGGGGCGGCCGACAGAAGCCAAATCTGGGACTCCAGCAACCTGGCTCACACTGGTAGCCCCGCCCTGGTGACTCCCTGAGGCCCCACCCCGCCCCGCCCCACCCCACCCCACCCCACCCCACCCAACTTTCAGGCCCACCCAAGCTGTTGGCACTTGCTTAACCATAGGATTGGCCTGACTTGGATCCTGCTTCAGGTTTTCCTAAATTTTTTCAAACGAGCAGCATCTGGTCTCAGCGAGCCTCATACCGCTCGTTAAGTAATACACAGAAACAAACACAGGGAGGCAGCCAAAATGAGGAGACAAAGAAACAGGTCCCAAATGAAAGAACAGAACAAAACCCCAAGAAAAGAACTAAGCTAAATGGAGATAAGCAACCTAACAGATGCTGAGTTCAAAATACTGCTTATAAGGATGCTCAATGAACTCAGTGAGGGCCTCAAGAGCATAAAAAAGGACCAGTCAGAAATGATCGATGCAGTTAGAAACGAAGGAGGCTTTAACTGAAATAAAGAATAATTTACACAGCTTCAATAATAGAGTACGTAAATCCAAGGAGCAAACCATCAATTTGGAATATAAGGAAGCAAAAAACGCCCAATCAGAACAGCAAAAAGAAAAAAGAATCCAAAAAAATGAGGAGCGTGTAAGGAGCCTCTGGGACAACCTCAAGCGTGCCAACATTTGCATCTTGGGGGTGCCAGAAGGAGAAGAGCGAGAACAAGAAATCGAAAACCTGTTTGAAACAATAATGGCAGAAAACTTTCCTTACTTGGTGAAGGAAACAGACATACAAGTCCAGGAAGCACAGAGAGTCCCAAACAAGATGAATCCCAAGAAGCCCACACCAAGACACATCATCATCAAAATGCAAAAGGTTTAAGACAAAGAGAGAATCTTTTTTTTTTTTTTTAATCCTCACCCGAGGACATTTTTCCATTTTTTGTTCAGGTAGAGTGGGAGGGAGAGAGAGGAACAGAGAGAGAGAGAGAAACATCGATGTGAAAGGAACACATCGAGTGGCTGCCACCCGCACAACCGACCAGGGCCGGGGACAAACTGCAACCGAAGTACGCGCCCTTAGCGGGAACCGAACCCGGGTCTCTCAGGACCGCAAGTCGACGGTCTAACCGCTGAGCCAAACCAGCCAGGGCAAGAGAGAATCTTAAAAGCAGCAAGAGAAAGGCAGTTAGTTACCTACAAGGGAGTTCCCATAAGGCTGTCAGCTGAGTTCTCAAAAGAAACTTTGCAGGCCAGAAGGGAGTGGCAAGAAATATTCAGAGTGATGGAAAGCAAGAACCTACAACCAAGATTACTCTATCCTGCAAAGCTGTCATTTAGAATCGATGGCCATATAAAGACTTTCCCAGACAAGAAAAAGTTAAAGGAGTTCATCACCACAAAACCGTTATTATATGAAATAATGAAGGGTCTTTTTGAAGAATAAGATAAAATATATGAACAAACAAAATGGCAAGGAATACATATCTATCAACAATGGACTCTACAAACAAAATGAACAGATAGAATAGAAACATTCTCGCCCTGGCCGGTTTGGCCCAGCGGTTAGAGCGTTGGCCTGCGGTCCTGAGAGACCTGGGTTCGGTTCCCGCTAAGGGCACGTACCTCCGTTGCAGTTTGTCCCCGGCCCTGGTTGGGTCGTGTGGGTGGCAACCACTCGACGTGTCCCTTCCACGTCGATGTTTCTCTCTCTCTTTCTCCCTCCACACTCTATCTGAACAAAAAATTGAAAGAAAAAATAAAAAAGAATAGAAACATTCTCATAGATATAGAGAACATTTTGTTGGTTGCCAGATGGGAGGGGGTTTGGGGGAATGGGTGAAAAAGGTGAAGGGATTAAGAAGTACAAATTGGTTGCTAAACTGACAAACCTCAAAGGGAAAGGGGCTGGGGGGTGGGGTGGGAAGAAATAAACCAAAGAACTTATATGCATAACCAATGGACACAGACAATAGTGTGGGAAAAGGCGGGAGGGAGGCGGGAGTGGGGAGGAGGGAGTCAATGGGGAAAAAATGTGGGACATCTGTTATACATTCTACATTCAACAATAAAGATTTTAAAAAAAAAATAAAAATATATATATATATTTACAGTATATATATATAAGGGAAAAATATCTTTGGGTGAGGATTAACAATAAGAACAAAGAAGAACTGAGTCATAAATGGACACCAGCACAGAGGCATCCAGTTTGAGCACCTGAAATGCTTTAGCGGCAACTGTCTGTCTGTGATGGAAGCAGCAGGCTCTGGGGCCCAGCAGAGCCTCGGTGCTTAGTGAAGGAGACTTTCCAAGACACTCCGTCACAGTGTTTCTTCAGCCCTTCCACTAGCCCCTGTGCTTCAGCCAGCCCCAGGGCCTTCTCCCGTCTCCAGTGAAGGGCTCTGACCAAGACCGGGAAGACTCGCTCTAGCTTCACCAAGGCTGTTACCACTGGGCTGGGGGAGCACTGGCAGTAGGGAGACTTTCAAAGGAAACCATACATTGTGTTTTTAAAGGAAAAAAACTAAAGTAAATGCAGCATAATATTAACATTAATTCTAGTGTAGGCTATATCGAGTTTTTTAAAAAATATATTATTACACTTTTCTGTATATGTTGAGATAGTTCACAGTATATATTTTTTTAATGTGGAGATCATGCCTGGTGATAGGGCAGCTAGGAGAACATCTTTAAGTAGAGAAAGCCTTTCTCAGTAGGATACAGAGCAAGGAAGCCATATGATTTGTATACTTTTCTATATGGATGCCATACGTGAATAAAAATTTTAAACAAAGAAAAAAGAATTTCAATATAAATTTTAAAATATATAAGGTAACATATACATATACAAGGCGGGGAGAAAGTAGGTGTCCAGTTTTGAGTACACTAAACACTGTTTATTTTTGTATTATTGTATTATTTCTCATACGCACAACTATAAAACTACTTCTGCTCCACCCCATATATACTCAGACACACACAAACATAAATGGTAACATTTCTTTCATCCACACAAAATAACATAGAATATATTCAAATGAATTCTCGTTAGCCCTAGAAGTAGAAAGTGATACAGTGAATAAGTAAAGAGAATGCTTATTTATTTAACAACCTTATCATCTAAAAATAATTGGTACTGGAAAAATATCTTACATGGTAAGAGACAGCCAGATATGATGATATTTATGATAACAGAACACACACCACCTGTGAAGTAGTTTTGTTCCTCCTAATATCCCCTGCCAAAAATCTGATCAAGTCTCTAGATCTACTACCAATTCACAGGATATAAAGGACAGAAGAACATGTTAAATCACACCACAGGAAAAGAACTAGCAATATTCAGAATATGGGAAACTTTATAGGATAAACTATTTGGCATATTCAACAAGTAGCTGGGGCTACTTTAAAAAAAAAAGACATAAAACAGTCCAGCCAGTGTGGCTCAGAGAACTGAGCATTGTCCCATGCACCAAGAGGTCACTGGTTCAATTGCCAGCCAGGGCACATGCCCAGGTTGCATGCTCAATCTCTAGTAGATGGTGTGCAGGAGGCAGCCGATTGATGTTTCTCTCTCTCCTTCTCTCTTCCTCTCTATCTAAAAATCAATAAAAACTTATTTTTTAAAAAGACATAAAACAGCCCTGACCGGTTTGGCTCAGTAGTTAGAGTGTCTACCTGCAGACCCAAGGGTCGAGGGTTTGATTTCCGATCAAGGGCACATACCTAGGTTGTAGATTCAATCCCCAGCCCTGGTCAGGGTTGTGTGGGAGGCAACCAATCAATGTGGACACATAAATGTTTCTCTCCCCTCATCCCTTCCATTCTATCTAAATTAAAAAAAAAAAAAAATCAATGAAAAAATATCCTCGGGTGAGTATTAACAACAAAAAAATTGTAGAAGACATAAAACATATCAACTAATTGTTGGACTTTATTGGATACAGATTCAAACACTGCTAAAAATACATACATACTTATGACATTTGAAAAACAACTGGAAATTTGAATTTTGACTAGCTATTTGATAGTACAGGATTATTTGCAAAAAATAAAATAAAAGGTGTGAAGATGGTAGTGTTGTTGTGATTTAAAAATATATTTTTCCCCTTAAGAAATACATTAAACAATTACAGATAAAATGTTATGATGACTTGGATGTGCTTCAAAATAATACAGGACAAAAGTAAGTAGGTAAGGGTAAAACTGGCCACAGCTGTTAATTACTGAAGCGGGGCAGGGGGTACATGAAGGTTTATTATCCTATTTTGTTTACTTTATATGCTTGAAATTTTCCATAATAAAAAGTTAAGAAAAAAAATGCTTTCAGGTTCCCCTTAAAATGGAGACTAAAATTTCATTACAAAAAGAAACTCTAATTGGAATGTCTTAAATAAAAATATAGCTCTGGCCAGTTTGGCTCAGCGGTTAGAGCGACGACCTGCAGTCCCGAGAGGCCTGGGTTTGGTTCCCACTAAAGGCGCGTACCTCGGTTGCAGTTTGTCCCTGGCCCTGATTGGTCATGCGGGTGGCAGCCTCTCGATGTGTCCCTTTCACATCGATGTTTCTCTCTCTCTCTCTCTCTCTCTGTTCCTGTCTCTCCCTCCCACTCTACCAGAACAAAAAAGGAAAAATGTCCTCGGGTGAGGATAAAAAAATAAATAAAAAATAAATAAATAAAAATATAAACTCTGAGAAGTACTACAGAAAAAAGTATTTTGGAAAAAAAAATGTTAAGATACAAGTGGAAGCTCATCAACAGGAATTTTACTAAACTGATTGATGCTACTCTATTCATTCAGAATTTTCTTTTTATCTGACTAGGTTTTAAGGGTAGTGATTGATTCTTATATAGCTTTCTGTTAGCCAGTATCTTGTGTAGTATCTTTCAATATCAGGTATCCAAAAAATAATGAATGAATGGATTAATATTTTTACTAAATCCTTGCTCAAGCATCTGCCAAATTATGACCATACTGCCTGGTATCAAAAGATAGTTGCCTATACCCTGGGCTAGGTGGCTCAGTTGGTTGGAGCATCATTCCCTACACCGAAAGGTTTCAGGGTTTGATTCCCAGTCAGGGTACGTACCTGGGTGGGGAGAAGGCAACCAATTGATGTTTATCTCTTACATCAATGTTTCTCTCTCTCTCAAGATAAATAAATATGGAGTATATAATGAAACAGTAACCAAAAAAAACCAAGATCTAAGAATATATTCTTTTGTATCTTTTAAATTTTAAAATATTTCAGAAAATTAAACCCATTTCAAATAAATACACAAAATTAAAACTTTTAAAACTATTGGCAAAAAAATAAACAAATTTAGCAAGACTTACCTAGCAGGAGGAATTCCCCTCTTAAAAAGGTCCACTCTTACTTTCTCTCCCACATGTCTATAAATCTCCACCATAGCCAATATTGCCGCATCTCTCACCTGCCAAAGGATTCAGAACTTTAAAAAAATTATATGAGATACAATAAAATACTTCACATCAAGGTAACATTACACTAGCAGACAAACTTGAAGCTTCAAGTTGGTTTTAGTATCTATAAATCCCTCAGAGATTATCATAGGTCATTAACAAAAAGAAAGAGGACCTGCCAAGAAACAGCTGGAGAAACCTTGTGAAAAGGTTTTACCAAAATCTAAAAAACATGTAAATAAAAGTTAATAATGTGGCTTTTAAAAAGTCTTCTTTTTGTAATATGATTGTATAAAGAACTGCCAGTACTTGTATAAATACAAATCACTGTCACAGTTAATATATTTTCCTGGAACAAAACTGCCTTTTAAGAATGTGGCCTGAACTCAAACAGATATTTATACACCAATGTTCACAATATCATTATTTAAAATAGCCCAAAAGTGGAAATAACCCAAATATCCATGCATGAATGAATGGATTAAAAAATGGTATGTACATACAACTGAATATTATTCAGTCTAAAAAAGGAAAGGAAATTCTGACAAATGCTACAACACGGATGAACCTTGAAGACATTATTAAGTGAAATATGCTAGATAAAAAAGTACAAATATTGTATGGTTCCACTTTTATGAAGTACCTACAGTAGATAAATTCATATGGAGAGGAAGAAAATGTTGTCGGGAACTGAGGGGTTGGAGAGCATGGGGAGTTACTGTTTAATGGGAAGACAGTTTCAATTTGGTAAAATACAAAAGTTCTGACACAGACAGTGAAGATGGCTGCACAACAATGTCAATTACTTACTGATGAACTGTACACTTTAAAATGGTTGAAATGGTAAATTTTATGTTGTGCATATTTACCACAATTACAAGGGGGGAAAACGTGGCCTAAAGACAGAAATTTGGAAGACAGTTCCAGTTCCCCTGCCAAGTTCACTGTCAAAGAGCAAATGAAGAGACAGAATTCTTTCCAAACCTCAAGAGGAGAAGCTAGCTAGGGCTGAAAAGCAAGGAAAACCTTACCCAGGGTTATTCCAAATGCACAAGCTGTGCCAGGAAGGTTACAATCAAAATTTAATTCTACCAGAGGGATGGGATCCAGAATACACCCCTGCATTATGCCTATAGCATATGCAGCTCAGGTAAAGAAATTTCTAACAAGCCCTGGCCACTTTGTCCTGAGGTCCAGAAAGACTCGGGTTCAGTTCCTGCTAAGGGCACATACCTCGGTTGCACTTTGTCCCCAGCCCTGGTTGGGTTGTGTGGGTGGCAACCACTTGATCACTCGATGTGTCCCTTTCACGTCGATGTCTGTCTGTCTGTCTCCCCCCCACCACCACCCCCACCCCACTCTTTCTGAACAAAAAATGGAAAAATGTTCTCGGGTGAGGATAAAAACAAAATTCTAACAAGTGATACACCAATGGCACAAATTCCCTGTTAAATAGGTTTTTGATTGTTGCAAAAAAGTTGTTATGCAACCATTCAGAAATAGAAAAAGGAAGCTAATGACCTGTTCTCACAATTAACACAAAGGACTACAGATGGGAAACCAAGTTATTTGTTATTCAATTTTTCAAACTCAAGGACTATGCTTTAGTCCTGGCCGGTGTGGCTCAGTTGGTTGGTGCAACGTCCCTGCACCAAAGGGTCACGGGTTCAATTCCCAGTCGGGGTGTGTACGACAGGCAACTGTTTAATGTTTGTCTCTCACATCAGTGTCTCTCTCTCTCTCTTTCTCTCTCTCCTCCTTCCTCCCTCTTTCTTCCTCTCTCTAGAATCAATGAAAAACTTATGCTTGAGGATTAAAAAAAATAATAATAATAACTATGCTTTAAGTCCCATCTATCCTTAATACTAAACAACTAACAAACTTAAGCAAATATGATGTGTTCTTAAAAATGAACTGTGGGCCCTGGCCAGTTTGGCTCAGCAATTGGAGCATCAGCCTGTGGACCAAAGAGTCCTGGGTTCGATTCTTGTCAAGGGCATGTACCTTGGTTGCAATTCAATCCCTGGCCCTGGTCAGGGTCGTGTGGGAGGCAAACGACTGATGTATCTCTCTCACATCGATGTTTTTCTCTCTCTCCCCCCTCCCTCCCTTGCTCTCTTCCTCCCACTCTATCTGAAGATGAATAGAAAAATATCCTCGGGTGAGGATAAAAAAAAAAAAGAATTCTGGTGGATTTTAAAGGAAAAAATAAGGTGAAATCTTAACTTCACTACCCCTTTCCACTCTCGTTTCTTCTTTTAAAAATAGAGTAAGAGAACTAGCAAAGAAGGCATAACCAAAAAATTTAGTCAAAGTTTGAATGTAAATAAAATTTTACCTGACTATTGGAATCTCCAAATAGGATACACAAATGTGGTACCAACTTGCTGAGGACTAGTGGTTGAGCTCCAAAACTAAACATAGTTTGAAAAAATAAAGATAATTTGGTTTTAATCAAACAATAAACAAAATATCCTTATATGTTCTTCTTGTCTGTATTAATAAGACAAATATAGTAGAGAGCATGGACACACATCATTAAAACATGAAGGGTATGAGACACAAGCAAAAACTAATTCTAAACAATGTCAAGTATGCAAACTTGAGTAATCATGACTGACAATGAAAACTGTCAATGCAAGATCCAACAGAGCAAAATGTTCAACCAATGGCACTCTTAAACCTGGCAACCTCTCAAACGCTCAAGAAAATTTGAGCTTTTGCTTTAAAATAGTCATTTTTTTTTAGACTTTGGATCTCAAATTTCCATTCCAATAAAATTTTTATTTATGTTTATTAATTTTTGAGGGGGTCATGGGTTGAAAGCAAATGACAGGAGAGCCAAAAACCACAAAATTTGTGCAGACTGAATGCACTTACAAGCTCTAGATGGCAGAAAGGACCATAGAGGAATAAAAGAAAATAAATGAAGGCACAGTTAGAGAAAAGGAAGTTACATTACAGGAAAAGTTGAAAACTACTATTATATATTACCTATCTTGTTGCACAGAACTTGAAAAAATAGTCCAGAAAGAGAATAAAAACCCCAGTTTACAGTTTCTTCAGATTGGAGCTCTGAGCCCTGTGGCATCTAAGCTGTCAGAGCTCTGCACACAGCTACCAGGTTCACTATCTAGTGTCCTGGGACACCTTCTTCAGTCCGTGATTTCCATGACCACCTACACTACTCTAGAAAGCCTCGGTGGCTATGGCTGGTTTGACTCGGCGGTTAGAGCGTATGCCCGAAGCCTAAAGGATTTAGGTTCAATTACCGGTCAAGGGCATGTACTTGGGTTGCAGGTTGGATCTGGGTCTGGGTTGTGCAGGAGGCAACCAATCGATGTGTCTCTATTGCATCAATGTGTCTCTATTGCACCAATGCTTCTCTCTCTCTCCCCGTTTCCCGTCTACTCTATCTAAAAATCAATGGAAAAATATCCCTAGGTGAAGATTAACAAAAAGAAGAAAAAGAAGAGAAAGCTTAGGTGGGGAAATGGCTACAATATCTGAAATATTACTGAGTTAAAAATAGTTCCAAACTGGGTCCAGAACAGAAGTAGAGCCTATATCAATATATTTGCTATATGACCATCTATTTTGGGTAGCAACTATTGACATGTTAAAGAAGAAAAAAACACTTCTTATACTAATAATTTCAAATTAACATGAAAGATAACAATATGTACACAAAAAAATTAACAGATAAAGGTATCAAATAAAATTAAAAACTCTTGTACCAGAGATTAGTTAATAACGACTTAAAATTTATTTCCACAGCTTTCCTTGAACTTTGTGAAATGGATATTGCTTTTTTGAGGATAATGAAAAACATAAGCTGTTTTCCAGTAATCATAAAACTTACATGTTTAAGGTTTCAATAAGACACAGACACATGCCTTCTCGAGATCGAAAATTCTTGTGCTTAAAACCAGAAGCCAACTGTTCCCAAATGTGCTATTTGAAAGAAAAGTAAACATGTATAACAAAAAATTAAATTATTTATATTAAAATCTTTTCTCTATTCTCAACTTTACTACCAATCTTATTGGTAAATGAATTGTCCCATTAGACTATTCACTTCTCTACAAGTTTTTATAAGCTGAATTTGTACTGATGTTGCTCCCACCCAATTTTTAATATCTTAATTACATTTTTAGTTTTTATTTCATCTTTTAGTTTATAATTCAATTATTCTCAGAATAACTATGTCCAACATCTAAAAACCTTAGAATTTCAAAGGACATAGAATCTGTTCTAAGCTTTAGAAATCTTCAACAACAATGCTACCATTATAAGCCCAATAAGTAGTCCAGTAAGCATTTAAAAGGCCCAATGTTGCCTAGCAACTACTCCAGACTGTCACATAGAACAGGCTTTTTCAACATTTTAGAATTCAGACTTTTCTCCTTTTAAGATTGAATCCAAACACAGGAACATATCTGGGCAAGTCATTTTATTGCCACCCACTGTAATTTTCTTTTGGAAAAAGCAAAGATAAACTTATACAAATAATCCAAAATAAGTACATGGGTTTGGTATAAGAAAGAATCCAAGTTTATTTTTTCAACTAAATGGCCAAGTGTCCCAATCAAGTCTTTCTCCACATTTAAAAATACTACCCTTACCATTTGCTAAATTCATGTGTGTACACACAAACACACACACCTTTTCCTGGACTCTATTGTTTCTGAACTCTGTATTCAGTTCTACTAATATATTTCTATCTTCTCTCACTCACTCTTTGTCAAACTTCCCAGAAGTTAACTTGGAAATTTACAAAAAAACTTGACTCAGCTACACCACCTCTGGAACTACATGTAGACTTATATTTATGTTCAAAGATACATGTACAAGGATGTCCCTTATAGTACTGTTTGTGGTAATAGCATGACAAAAACAAGCTAAAATTTGAACCACTTAACAAGTGTTGAAGGATACCCACCACACTATTAATGAGGACTTTGGTTAAATCTTTGGTTAAATCTGGTAAAATAGTTTACTTTCACAATGCAATATTCTTTGGACTTTTTATAATCATGTAATATTATAATTTTTAAACTGTATTTTAAATGATAACGTAATAGCATTATGTGTATTATAGATTCTGATCTTTTTCCACTTAACATGAGCTACTTTTTAAATGTTTGTATACATGTCAACTTATTGGTGCTCCTTTCAAAACACATCCACATAAGAGCAAATTTTTCCTACTGTATCCATAAAACACAGGTCACTGTCATAGACTATATGCCTTATACAATTAGTAACTACCGGTTAAAATAAAAAATTTTCTTCCTGTCTTTGTAAGAGTTGCAGAAATTAATATAACATTAAGTATTTCTTGCCCTGGCCGGTTTGGCTCGGTTGTTAGAACCTCGGCCCGTGGACCAGAGAGTTCTGGGTTCGGTTCCCACTAAGGGCACGTACTTCAGTTGCTGTTTGTCCCCAGCCCTGGTTGGGGTCGTGTGGGTGGCAGCCAGTCAATGAGTCTCTTTCACATCGATGTTTTTCTCTCTCTCTCTTCCTCCCTCCCTCCCTCCCTCCCTCCTGCTCTATCTGAAGATAAATGCAAAACTGTCCTCAGGTGAGGATAAAAAAAAATTTTTCCTTCTGTCTTTGTAAGAGTTGCAGAAATTAATATAACATTAAGTATTTCTCACCCTGACCGGTTTGGCTCAGCGGTTAGAGCATCGGCCCGCAGATCAGAGAGACCTAGGTTCAGTTTCCACTAAGCGCACGTACCTCAGTTGCAGTTTGTCCCCAGCCCCGATTGGGGTCGTGTGGGTGGCAGCCAGTTGATGTGTCTTTCTCACATCCATGATTCTTTCTCTCTCTTTCCCCTCTCTCTCCCTCCCACTCTATCTGAAGATATATCTATGCAAAAAATGTCCTCAGGTGAGGAGAGAGGAAAAAAAAAAGTATTTCTCAAAATAAGCTTTGCACTGAACATTTTGTAATAATGCAGATAAGGAAAGCCAGAAAAATCCTAAAAAATAATTATTATCAGTAGATTGTCAAATCACTAAAATCTGAGTTAGCTTTTTTTTTTTTTTTGAGGTACGTGCCCCTAGCGGAAACCAGGACTCTCTGGTCCGCAGGCCGATGTTCAACCGCTGAGCCTAACTGGCAGGGGCTGAGTTAGCTTTTTAACAAAGCATTAAAGAATAGAAAATAAGAAAAAGAAAAGCAAAAAAATCAAAATATTAAATATAGACGTTTATTCTTAAATGTCAACTTCTTTAAAGCATTAGCAACAATTCACTGTTTAAATTTTCAGCTTTCATGTCCCCTGGTGACTGACTTGCTATGATTACCTTATCATCTATCCTTAATGATATTTCATCATTAATTAGCAAAATTAGAATTTTTTCTACTATTGGCCTACCATAGGTGGTGCTACTTGATCCATTAACTTCAATAGTAGAGTCTGAGCTTCATCACGAACCTTGTCTTTGGCATCTCCCATTCTGTCTATTAAAGCTACAATAACTGGAGAAAGAGAAAGGAAAAAGAGTAAATATTTAAAATTCATCTCCATTATAAGCTATATTTTACAAAATTACAAACAGCAATTGTTTGCATAAATTAAAAGTTATGAGGTAAGCAAATTGTTTTCACTTCTTTATTTATGAATAATCAAATATAACTGAAAAGCAAGTTCAAACTGAATACATATTGTACATCCACTTATAATAATAATGTTCAAAAAAAACAGGCAAAACTAATTACTATTCCATTTAGAGATATGTCTAGACAGTCAAAATCTAAAGATCAGCAAGGGAATGATTATCCCAAAGGTCATGACAGTGGTACCTTGGGTACATGGAGGGAGGTATCATCAGGAAATGCAGAGAGGGCACATCTAAGGAGTTGGCAGAATTCTAGTTTCTAAGGCACGTGCTGGTTTTATAATTACTCTTCAAATTGTGCATGTTTGATATGCATTCTTCTCTATGCATGACATACTACTTAACTAACAAAAACCATAAAAGCCTAGGCCACTAGAATTGAGGTCTTTCTCTACTAGGTCCAACACTTTGGGCACTATTCCATGAAAAGAGGAAGGAAAGGCAGGTTAGAGTCCTTTTCTAGAGAGTTTTCATGAAAAAAGTTTTTGTAACTATAAATCAGCAAAGCAACACAAATAAATCACATCTATTATGCATAGGGTGGGGAGAACTAGATTGGGTGGGGCTAGAATTCAAGAGGGCACAGGTTCTAAAGCAGCGGTTCTCAACCTATTGGTTGAGACCCCTTTGGGGGTCGAACGACCCTTTCACAGGGGTCGCCTAAGACCATCGGAAAACACATATTTCCGATGGTCTTAGGAACCGAGACACTGCTCCTCTGTCTGTCTCCAGGAGGGTCTGCCCACATACAACATGAAGAACTGTATTACAGGGTCACGGCATTAGGAAGGTTGAAAACCATTGATTTAAGGAAAAATGAAATTACACTCTTTTTGGAAGAAAATAACTACAGTGAGAAGTTAACTATACCAAATGGAATGACACCATCCCAAAATCTAAGCTTAATTAAGGAAATGATTGTGTAAGAAAACAAAAAGTCCTCACCATAAAAATCATAAGCCTAATTATGAGGCAACACAAGTACCTTTCAATTGGAACAATATAAATCCTTCTCATCTTGCTTGTATTGTTAACATTAGAGAAATTCTTCAACACGTAGGATTGGCTATTGTGGGACTGGTCCTGATAGCTTCTGAGAGGCAATCCAGAGCAATAATAAATCTTTCTGTTAGAATATAGTTGTGTACTAAGTACTGAATTATCTCATTTAATCTTCAGAACAATCCTAAGCAATAGCATAGGCCTATTTGAGGGTCCAGAGGAATTCAATACATTGCCCAAGGTCACACAAACAGCAAGCAATGAAACCAGGATTTAAATAATCTACCCAATGTTAGGTTCCAGTCACAACTACTTCCATTTACTTATGATTAAGATGTCGTGTGTGTGTGTGTTTGTGTGTTTTAACAAACACATAACAGTAGTGGGGGGGGGCATTTCACTCCTGAGAGGTAGAATTTAACTCCAAAAAGAAAAAAATGTTTGCTCAAATAGATGCTCGCTTCAATATTACAAACTAAAATTTTATAAAGCATAAACAACAAAATCAAAAACAAAAAAGCTCACTATATAAACTTAGTATTATTAAATTAATAATTACTATTAAACACAAAAAATAATTTTTGCATTAAAATCCCCTTTTAACACATACTTTCTTGGACGTAAACAGAACAAGATGTATTCCTAGCTCTATCAGTTATTAATTATACAAGGTAGTAAACTTTTCTGAACTTCCAAGTTTCCTTGTCTGTGAATTAAGAAGGGATGCAGGTCTATAGCTCACCTGACTAGTGAGAGGATGAAGTAAAACATAAAAAGCACCTGTGTCATGCCTATAACAAGCATTCAGAAGTGTCAGCAGTGTTCCTTCAAGATCTGCATAGGATATAATGACCACTGAATTACCATTTAACATGCTGAATATTTCAATAGGTAAGTATTGGGAATCCACAATAGAATTTTTCACCCTGTAGACTCTCAATAGGAACTTGTTATACAAATGAATAAACCTCTAACAGACTGGAATGTGGAAAATGAAACAGAAGTTTAAAGCCTAGTTGTTAGCATATTTTATTCTTTTAGTGTTGCACAAGATGTGAATCATTTTACAAGATGTAAAAATGATGACCAGGCATCCTGACTATTCTAATACTCTTTCTACAATACCATTTTGGATTAAAACTATCTGTTTTAAGATTTGTAAAATATGAGATCCTTTACTGAATTCAGTTATCATAAAACCAGGGCTGGTGATCAGTGTTAAATGTAAACTGTAAAATTTTTTGTTTGAAAATTTAATTTTTCTAGAGTACATGTGGTCACAAAAGAAAATTTAAATATTTCACATTAAAGAATTACATTAATGGAACCAATATTTTGGAATTTTGTCTAAAGCTGAAGATGAACCTCAGTTTTTCTAAAGCATCTCTTCACTTATAATAAGATAAAAAATATCTGTACTGACAGTTAATAATCTAAATGCACCTAAAGAAAACAGTTATCATTCACATTAAGTTACATATACCTAGGGTTATATTATCAAAAAACTTCAGTACATAACTTAATTCAATTCCTTTCTTTTACTGAAAGGCTCTTAAAGTGGTTTGACTGAGGTCTAAGACGGTAAAACAAGAAAGCTAACCCTGGAACTCTTGGTTTTAATACCCCTTAAAGAGTACACAGATGTGCCCTGGCCAGTTTGGCTCAGCAGTTGGGAGCGTCGGCCTGCGGTCCGGAGATACCCGGGTTCGGTTCCCGCTAAGGGCATGTACCTCGGCTGCAGTTTGTCCCCGGCCCTGGTTGGTCGTGCGGGTGGCAACCACTCGATGTGTCCCTTTCACATCGATGTTTCTCTCTCTCTCTCTCTTCCTCTCTCTCCCTCCCACTCTATCTGTACAAAAAATGGAAAAATGTCCTCGGGTGAGGATTAAAAAAAAAAAAGAGTACACAGATGTACTGCATTTGTTCAGAAGTATCATACAAATTAGTAATAATGTGAGGATAATCGTTCACCTATGTAAAGTAGATAAATCCAGTAAATGTGAAAAAATGAGCCATTCAATAAATGGTAGCAATATTGTGATGGAATTTTCCTTTTTCGACATAGACTTTCAAGTAATAAGTTCTACTTTCACTAAAGACAATGATGAGTTTGAACAGGGTTCAAAGTGAAAATGATAATGACTAAATTCACAGTGCTAATAACCAGGCAGGGTGGGAGATTAAAAGATTTTAAAAACTATATATAGAGCCACAGTGTGGCTCTGTGGTTAAAGGACTGACCCTTGCACCAAAGGGTCATGAGTTCAATTCCTGGTCAAGGGCACATACCTGGGTTACAGGTTCAATCCACAACCCAGGTCGGGTCTGGGTGCATGTGGGAGGGGAGGCAATCAATCGATGTGTCATCTCTCTCATCTCTCCCCCCTCCCCTTCCACTCTCTCTAAAAAACAAGAGAAAAAAATATCCTCAGGTGAGGATTAACAAAATCAAAACAAAACAAAACTATACATATAAGAATATGTAGATATGTGGGAAACACATATGAAAAACACTAACCAACTTAAAGCAACTTTTTTATTTATTAAATATTTACAGGTGGGTATAAGAATCATGGAGTAAGGAAAAATTCAGTGTAGGGTAAGGTTAAACTGAAAAGCTCCCAGATACTGTAATCTAGAGTAAATCTTTAAAAGAAAAAGAAAGGACCATGGAGAAGAGGATAGAATTTCAAAAAGAAAGAACAGCACAGCAGAGAAATAAACAAGCCAGAACTAACAAGAGTGAGCAAGTTTCTGATGAGCTGGAATGAAGAGAGTACTTGCTGGAGCTCACAAATAAATAATGCTACTGAGATGGAGAAGGGACACACATGCTGACTGAACTGGAACATCAAAGAGAACAAAACAGAAGTAAATTCTGAAAGCAGGACAGTCCTGGGAGGCAACAAACTCGGATTCTAGTCCAATACTTCCATTGTCTCAATGTGAGCAATCAGTATATTAAACCCCATCTGGCCCTTCTTGTGTCTGAAAACCAGTGACATGTAATGCCTAGAATTACTCTGAAGTCTAAATACTGTCTGTAACAACTAATAATAGGGAGCGACTATGGGACAGGGGTCACAAACATAAACGCCTACAGTCAGAGAGGTATGGGAAATGCAGAAAATGAACCGGGTCAAAGGACTAGAGTATTCCAATCTTGCTGTATTATAACTGACATTCTCAGTTTTGAGGAGAAAAGAGGAGATGGGAGGGAATTAGGACGTGAAAAGATCATGATACAGACAAAAGGGAAGCTACAATACAGCTTCAGCCAATAATTACACTTGGGAGTGCAAGGTCAGGGTTACCACATTGGCCAATTTTTCAAGACAAGCCATAAATACAAATTTTTATGTAAAAATTCCTAATGTTAAACATTGATTCAAATGTTTCAAGAAAATACACAAGTAAAACTCATTTATAGAGCAAAGTTTTAAACACCTATTCTAGGATTTTAGGCAGGAGAATGACACTGTAAAAAATCATCTTTTCAGAAGATATTCACAGAAAGAATAAAGTGGAACCAGGCACTGATTTAAAAAGGAATGATAAAGATAGGGAAACTAAGATGCTTCTGCTAAAAGGACAGCTAGACAATAAAACTAAATATGGAAATTGGCAGAATTTGGTGGCATACAAAATATGAAGAAAAGAGCTGACCAAAGATAATCTGAAAATAAGTTTGATGATACATTATGCGGCATTAACTTAATCCATAAAAGAAATTAACAAACATCTGAGGGTATTCTTAAATGTTTCTATACAATAGGAACAAAATCCACTTACCAAAGCACTCCAAAGGCACATGAAGGTCACTCAGGTTTAGAAAATAGGTCAGAGCCAACTCTGTAATCCTAACTATTATACAAAGAAGAGCATTGTACTGGTATAATGCTCTTCTTTGCAAGCACACTGTAATAAGTACCGCTCAAAGTATGGCTGGTAGCCCAGGACCAGTCTACAAACTATTTGTGGTAAGAAAAATTGAGAGTTTATAAAATAAAGTTTTTGAAACAATCTGACCAAAGTTATTTTATGTTTGTTGACTCTAATAATAAAAATTGGGTCTTGTATTTTTTCATTTCATTTTGTTATAACTTATTTTTATTGTATTTTACCAAAATGCTGGTCTGCAACAAACTAGTCCTTTACACAGAAAGTTTGAAAAGTAGTGCTGTAAGTTATAATATTTTAATGTTACAAAAAGAGTAAAAATAGAGTAAAAAATTTGAAAATATAAAGTAAAACTCTATTAGCACTATATTTAGTAAGTTTTTTGCTTTTATTTTTTTGTCTCAAGGGGAATATAATTATCTATTTAATAGGCTTAAAATTTATGTCTGGTAAACTATAATGCTAAGTACTAGATGTCCAAGTTGTACAAAATTACATTTCTGCATTTATAGATAACTAATTCTGTTAAACAAAAACAATGGGGAAAAAGCAGTATGTCAAAACCTACAATGATTCTTAAATAAAGTTAACTTACCCATTGCTACATAGGACTTAAATCGTGTTGATAATCTATCCACAAAGGCACTTAAAATTTCCAATCCCATTAATGATATCTACAGACAGAAAAAAAATTAATGAATACAAATTACCTATGCGTACTTCAATATCAGTTTATAAATGTTGACATACAAAGACTTTCATATAATATATTATGAAGTTTTTTTTAAATATAGAGGGATTGAAGTATCCAGGGATGAACAGTCATAAGGTTAGGGCACCCTATCCTGAAATGGGTCAATAATAATAATGTGTAAATATATGCAGGAAGGTACTGGTAAAGCATATTTGGCAAAATGTTAATAACTGGTAAATTAGGTGAAGAGTACAGAGACGTTCACTGAATACACCTCCAACTTTCCTGTAATGTTGAAATGTTAGCAACAAAAAATAGTTAAAAATTAAAACAGTGTCTTTAATTATAGAGGAATTCCAGTTTGTCTAGGATGAAGAAATTGGAAAATGAAATCATTCCCATTGTAACAAGAAAAAGCCAAATAATCTACAAAATCGTAACTATTCTTGAATCCATCAGAAAGCTTAGGTTGTAGAATAATCAACTAGCCTGAAACATAATGAAAGACAGATGTCCCCAAGGAGAGATGGGACCTAAGCAATAGATCATTATGCAGCAGAGGACAGAAAAAAATGAAGCAGCTGTACAAGTGGGTAAGAATTCAGCTCAATTTAACTCATTGTTAATAGGTGTGTGTGGGCTAGCATAAAAATACAGAAACCCTAGTAGCCACAGACACAAGGGAAGTTCACACCCACTTGCAGGTTCTTTCTCCCCAAACCTCCACTGGGCACTCATAATTAAGACTGAGGACAGGGCAGGAGATTGGAGACATTATCTCTCGGTGGTACAGGTCTCACAGGAAGGGAGCAGCTACCTCTGCAAGGAAAGCACAAATCTTTCCCATAGCCTTGTTCTATAAAAAACAAAGTTGAGCCCTGGTCAAGTGGCTCGGTTGGAGCATCATCCTATACACCAAAAGGTTGTGGGTTCAATCCCTGATCAGGGCACATGAGGGAGGCATCCAATCGATGTTTCTCTCTCTCCCTCTAAACATATCCTCAGTTGAGGATTAAAAAAAAAAAAAGCTGAAGCTACTAAAGGAAAGACAAACACTGTCACTCCCAGAACAAAAACTTTAGAATATTGAATAAAGAGGGAGAAAAAAACCTCTCTACCTCAGGGGTAGGAGCAGAGAACCATCCTGGGCTCAGATGATTCAGTCTCCATTTGAGGAGGGGCAGAATCTCTGATGAAGCCTTACCCCCCAAGACCAAATCAATAAATTGTACACTTTAAATGAGTGAATCCTATCAATGAGTTGTTAAAAAACATAAATGAAAATCCATAAATACACTCACACATAAAATTTAACAGATGATAAAAGCAGTATCTCAAATCAGCAGGAAAAACATGAACATTTATTAGGATCTCACTTAGGAATCTATCCCTAAAATATATCGGCAAAATTATGAAACAAACCTGTAAAGATTATTCATTACAGGACACTGGAAAATATCCAAACATTCACCAATATTTCACCAATATGGGACAGGTTCAATAAATTAAGGTATATCCCCTCTACAGGGTACTATGACACTTTAAAATGAGGGCCAGCTTACCCAGCTGGTGTGGCTCAGTAGTTGAGCCCTGACCCATGAACCAAGAGGTTGCTGGTGTGATTCCTAGTCAGGGCACCTGCCTAGACTGTGGGCCCAATCCCCAGAGGGGGGCATGCAGGAGGTGGCCAATCAATGTTTCTATCTCTCTCCCTCTCCCTTCCTCTCTCTCTAACATCAAGAAAGACAAAATGTGGCCCGGTTGGTGTGGCTCAGTGGTTGAGCATCAACCCATGCACCAAGAGGTTGCTGGTTCAATTCCCGGTCAGGGCACATGCCCAGGTTGTGAGCCCAATCGCCAGTGGGGGGCACACAGGAGGCGCCCAATCAATGTTCTCTCTCATCAATGTTTCTCTCTCTCCCTCTCCCTTTCTCTCTCTAAAATCAATAAAGAAAAAAAATTTAGGGAAAAAAAAAAAGTGGCCACCTTTAAAAAAATAAATAAATAAAATGAGGACTATCCTAATTTTGTTATACAATGACCTCAAAGATATACTGTTAAGTGAAAGAAGCAAGTTTGGGAAGTGTATATATATATATATTTTAAAAAGGAGACTACAAATAAAGATAGTTATAAATGTGTATTAAAAATAACAAAGAGCTCCCTGCCCGGTTTTGCTCAGTGGTTAGAGCGTTGTCCTACGGACCAAAGAGTCACAGGTTTGATTCCGGTCAAGGGCACAGTTGTCCCTCACTTCCCCCCCTTCCCTCCTCACCGAGCCTCCGCCCTATCCCAGAGTTCTTGACCACATTATTGTCTGTGTCCATGGGCTACGCATATATGTTCTTTGATTAATCTCTTCCAGTCCCCTCTAAACCACTCCCCTCTGAGATCTATCAGTCTGTTCCATGTATCCAGGCCTCTGGTCTTATTTTGCTCTCTTTAAAAAATTGACTGTTTGCCCTGGCCGGTTTGGATCAGCTGTTAGAGTGGTGGCCTGTGGCCCAGAGAGATCCGGGTTCGGTTCCTGCTAAGGGCACGTACCTCAGTTGCAGTCCCCGGCCCTGGCTGGGTCGTGCAGGAGGCAGCCACTCGATGTGTCCCTTTCACATCAATGTTTCTCTCTCTCTTCTCTTCCTCTCTCTCCCTCCCACTCTATCTGAACAAAAAATAAAAAATAAAATAAATTAAAAAAAATTGACTGTTTTAAAAAGTACCACCAAGGTGATGCTGACACTGGAAAAAAATCATCCTTCAAAAGGCAAAGGGGCTGTCATTTTGGATTCCAAAAAAAACCCCTGAAATCCTAGCACATTATTTAGCCCAACACAAGATAGTTATAAACGCTACTTATTATTTTCTCCATATTTAGAATCAACTTACTGCTTTAGTTGCAGATAGACAATATAAAAAAGTGAAAGAAGAGTTGATAAATGATAGGATACTTAAAAGGTTTACAAAGGTACAGAAAATGAAGTAGAAAAATCCTAATTTCCCTAGGTTTAAGTACTCCTCCAACAATTTACCAGGCCTGTGACCTAAAGTAAAATATGTCTTTTTCTACACAATGAGGAAAATAATAGTACTAACTTTCTAAGGCCATCTTAAAGATTAAAATGAGATAATGCAAATAAGCCACTTTGAGGCAGTGCCTGAACACCAAGGACCCTAAATGGTGGTTATCATACTTAATTGTGCTTTAAAAGGACATTTTATTGTCATAATACCATTTTAAAATTTAAGGACTCCTGAAATCACAGGACAGTCCTTAGCAAAAGTCAAATGCCAGAGTATATATTTTTGAAATATTTCTGTATTTTAATCTCCAAGTCTGACCTCTGCACTGAACTAGACTTCAATTGTATATTTACATTCAACTTGGGTGTCAAACAACCTTCTCAGACCTAAACACAGTGAAACCAAACATTTTACTTATTTCACCCAACTTAGTCTCAAATTCTCCCATTTCAGTAAACAGCACCCTCTATTGGTGCCCAAGCAAAGCAATTATCCCTAATTCCTCTCTCAACATTCACACTCATTCCAATGGGAGGTCTTGTTGGCTGTACCTCCAAATCATATCCCAAATCTTCCACTTCTCAGCATTGCCAACGTGACCAAACCAGTCTTAGTCACCATTATCTCTGTTTCTTCTGTTGTTCCTTTACAGAGTCCCCTCTCCACAAAGAAGGCACCCCTCTACATAAAACCTTCCACTGGTTTAGCATAAAATCCTCTCGGTGTCTTTCCACCTGCCTCTCCAACTTTATCTTTCTTAACATCTCACCCACTTGTAAGCTCTAGCCATGCTGGTCTTATGTTCAATGGAACTAGGGTCTCTGCTTTTGCAGTTCCCTCTGTCTAAATCATTCTTTACTCCTGTATTTCTTTCCCGACTACAGACAAATTTCACCTCATTTGCTTGACTACACAAAATAGTCTCACTGGACCCTCATTCTTTCACATCAGTTGATTAAGAAGCACTTGTTACCTGAAATTATCTCATTTGTATACCCATGCACCTTCTTCTTTCTAATAGGATCTCCATGACAGCAGGGATCTCACTCTCCAATCTCATTTACATCACCCTCTCATGAGGTCTTCAGTGACCAGCTATTTAAAATTCTAACATCTGCATCCTGCCCAACACTCTCTATTCCCTTCACTGCTTTTCTCCAAAATAAATCTCACCATCCAACATACTAATTTTTGTTATTTATCTTGTTTATATTCTTCTCCCCCACTAGAATAGAAATCCATAAAAGAAAGGATTTCTGTTTTTCCCCCTATTATATCAGAAGTGCCTGGAAGACTGAGTGCCTGCATATAGTAGGTCCCCAGTAAATATCCAAATTAGGCTTAATGAATATTATTAGTTTTGTTCACAGCTGGATCATCAGTATCTAGACTACCAAGCATATAGCAGAGTCACTCAAATTCATTGACTCATGGCAGTTATTAAGACACTCAAATTCTGAGGTGCTATCAAATTCAAAGAAAATTTATATTTTGTTCAGCATAACTTAAAATTTAAGTACAAATGTCTATTTGTGTATAGGTTCAAAAAATTCTGATACACTTTTTCCAAGAGTTAAATGTTTTATTGTATTGTGAGTAAAAGATGATGATCTAGTTTGGTAACCAAGTTTATAAAACCTAAATAACAAACTAATTAGAATGTCCTCTCTCTAACAATGTCAGAGAGCTTCTATACAGCATTCTATTGAAAAGAGAGAACTATGATTCTGGAAGGAGAGAAGAGAAAGGACGAATTCATGTCTTTGAGTAGGCAAGAGGGTATAGGATCTAATATGCATGTGGAGCGACTGGTATAAGGAAGATAGACAATTCATTCATTGTAACTGAGAAGAAAGCAGAATATATGGGCACAGCTACAAGGAAGTGTGAAGATAAGGTTGTAGGAGCCTGATTGCTGAAATTGTCTCAAGCTACAGAATCTAGTGAGGAGCATGGAGAGAATGTGTAGTACAGAGATGAGAACTTGGGTCAGATGTCTGTCTGATAGATTCTAACTCTTTAAGGACCAGTTAAAGAAAAAAGATAGCACTTGAGTGAAGTAGTGCATATAGACTTAAAGACAAATTGTGGCCCTGGCAGTTTTGGCTCAGTGGTTGGAGTGCCAACTCTCGGACCAATGAGTTTCAGATTCGATTCCAGTCCAGGGCACGAACCTCAGTTTCCGTTTGTGTGTGTGCGCACCCCCCCCCCCCCCCCCCGCCTGGTCAGGGCTGTGCAGGAGGCAACCAATTGATGTGTCCCTTTCACATCGATATTTCCTCTCTCTCTCTCCCTTCCACTCTATCTGAAGATAAATGAAAAAATATCCTTGGGTGAGGATTAAAAAAAAAAAGACAAACTGGGATACTCTGGTATTATAGAAGCCAAGAGTGTTTCAAGAGATGTGACTGCTCAACTGCCAATTCACTGGACGTTTATCTGAAGAGTGAAATGACCCCATAAGCAGCACTTGAGAAGAGGAGTAAGCATTACTGTTGGATTGGACAAGGGTCTCAAGGTCTGAGAAGTTCTAAATGTTATTATTAAATGTTATTCTTGCTAAATGTTAAAATGTAGCCTAGTATTTTGCAGGTGCAGTTATAAACAGGATAAATTTGACAGGAACTCAACAGGGATAAGTGCAGCTAACTGCAAAGAAGGAATCAACATGTAAATGACCCAAAAAAGTGTATAAAAGCAATGGCTAAGCCTCCCTTCCCAGAGACAAAGCTTTGGACATGAATCCCATCTCCTTTACTTGCTGCCAGTAAATAAAACTACCTTGTGACTACCACGTCTCATCTTTGAATTGAGTTGGAATTCAGTCACATAACCAAAGAGGTGACTTTCCCATAACAGCCCATGTTGCAACATAAATCACCTATCTTAGTGTTTATATGCCCTTCTTTCTGTAAGCAAGTTTAGCTTGTTTCTTCCAAAGAGATAAGAATAATCCCCAAACAGTAGTGATATATCAATAAATATTAACTTTTTCCAAAGTTAAAAAAAAAAAAGAGAGAGATAATATGTAATGTAATGGAGCATCAAGGTGGTAATTTTCAAACTATTTATTATCCTATAAAAGTCAATCCCTTCCAAAACTCACATAAATTTCACTATTAAATCTTCATAGTAACTCTAGAGTATGTCTTTCTTCTCTGCAAGGAGTTTTCACAGTACAGCCTATTCACTGGGTTATAAGAATCACTTCACTTCATCCATAGGAGGTTTGGACCAGTATTTTAAAGCAACACTGCCACCAGAAGACTAGAAAGAAAAGTAACTGCTAAAAACTACAATATAGGCTAATTACAGAATATTCACTTTGGTCTCCCAAAGTAACTACATTACAACCTGCCTACTACCGGCTCATCAGAAACACTCATTCCTTCTTGTACCTCATTCTTATATTTATTTTTTTCTGCATCAGCTAACCTGCTAGGACATGGTTTCAAACCCGAGTCAGTCCTCAACTGCGTGAAAACGAAATGACAGACAGCATTCAATTCCTTTCTGTCGACAATGAACAAAAAGCAAATAAGTAATGCCCTGGGGTCAGCATCTTTTTATTAGATAGAACGGCACCTGCTCAAGCTCTGGAAGATGCCTTAGAGATGAAGAGCACAACCTCCCAGACACAAAACTCAGAAAAAAGAAACAGGAGATTAAGGCTAAAAATCACTTATTACAGAGGGATGAACTTAACACCTCTTTTTAAAAACTATGTTCTAATATCCCATGTCTTGGTCTAGGTAGTGTTTACATAAACAAATGTAAAAAGTTTTCGGGCCCTTTATGCATGTTAATTATCACTGATTGCCTAAAGTTAATGATTGACACTGTGTCCTGATGCTAATGCCGCAGCACCATGGCAAGGGAATCGCTGAATTTGTCATTGTTCATAATTGTAGAAAAACTCGGTCGCGATGGGAATCAGTCCCCGGCTCCGGACCCGCGTGTCCACGGGCTTCCCCTTTACGGGGCGGTTCCGCGGAACCAGGCGCACCCGAGGGGCTCGCCGGCCCGACCCGCACGTCCGGAATTAAAGGGCTGGCCGGGGAGGGCGTGCCCGGCCCGGCCGCGCCGCCGCCGCTTACCCGGTAGTTGCTCGAGCCCACCCAGCCGGTGAGCGCGTCGATCGTCTTGCCCAGGCTGCCCAGGTCCTCCTCCAGGTCCGGGATGGCGCCGGGCACGCCGAGGTAGAGCAGCAGCTCCTGGCCGACCTGCTGGCGGCCGCCGACGTCCTTCTGCTGCACCTGGGCGCTGAAGTACTCCATGCTGCGGGGCTCCATGGCCGCGGCCGCCCGCCCGCCCGCCAGGGGCCGACTTTCGCCGAGAGCCGCCCAGCCGCCAGTGCGGGTCCCCGCGGGAACGGGCGATACGCGCTGGGTCGGGCTGCGGCGCGGGGCGCGGGGCGCGGCGGGCGGCGGGAGCAGCGCCAGGCGCCGAGCAGCCCCCAAACTAGTCAAACTCGGCGCCCCCCGACACCCAGCCCGCTTCAGAGGCCGCGGCCGCCGGCGACGTCAGCACGCGCGTGACGTCAGCGCGACGTCGGCGAGCGCCCGCCCGTCGGGACTGGAGCTGTGCGCCGGCGGCCGATGCGGGAACCGCTGGGCGAGGCGGAACACCGGCGGGGAGCTTCGAGGTCGCGCCCGGTCGGCGCTCCTGGGAGCCCCAGCGCTCCCCGCCACGTTATCACAGCACCCTGCCCTCGCCTGGCAAACGACAGAACGTTTCCCAGTTTCCCTCCCCTTAAAACCAGTATTTGGGAAAGTGTCTGGTATTTGGAATCCCGCTTCTCCAGCCCCACTCCTGTTTTTTTAACCTTGTAGGATAAATACACTCCATCATTAAAAAAGCACCATGACGCCTGCTTCCAGGCACCACCACCACCACTGGTTGGGTGACCATGTAATTTTTTTTTTTTTAACTGTGTTTTAGTTTACATAGAGTAAAATGCACAGATTTCAAATGCACGGTCCATGAGTTTGGGGCAAATGTATTCACCAGTGTAACCACCACCCCAACGAAGATGAGGCGCATTTCCATCACTCCAGGAACTTCCCAATCAATAACCACTGCCTCCGCAGGCAATTCTGATCTGGTTTCTATCACTTTAGTGGAGTGTTTCCTGTTCTTTCACGTCACATAACTTCATCCAGTCCGTCCTCTTTGAATAGGGCTTCTTTCTTAGGGTAATATTTTGAGATTCATCCCGTGCTGTTGGTGTGTCAGTAGTCCCTTTTTATTGCTGAGTATTATCAATTGTTTGGAAGCACAATTGTTGACTCATTCACCTGTTTACAGACGTTTGCATTGTTTCCAGTTTTGTATAATCATATACAAAGTTGCTGTAACCATTAATGTTTAAGTCATTGTGTGGACAATTGTTTTCATTTCTCTTGGGTAAAATACCAAGGACTCTGTGGGGACTACAAAATAATAATACTTTTCCTCCCACCTTCTAAATTCTGGCTGGGCTAATAATCAAATTAACAGACAGATTAACAGGAGAAAACCAGTTTTAATACATGCATATGGGGAATTCACATAAGCATGAAAATTACAAAGATAGTGAGCTAAATTAGGTGTATATGTTATTTTGGACAAAGGAGAAGGGAGACCTTAGATTTCAAAAGCAAGAGTGGGCCATTTGCAGATAAGGAAGAGCAGAACACAAGGCAGATAACATTTTTGCTAGGCACCCAGAAACAATGAGACACAGAGGGGATCTAATAAACAGGCCCCTACTTGACACCCTCCCATCTACCATACTCAATTCAGGTTAAGCTGAGGTTTAGATTTCTTTCCTGGAACAAATTTTTCCATCTGAATCTCTGAGGCAGGAAAGGGAGGAGGAAGTCAAAGATTCTGAGTCTTTTCTTAGTAAGCAGTTTAAAAACCAATATCCAAAAAGGCAAAACTTTGGTTCCTTTCGACTGGAATTACTAGGTCTTACAAGTGTATGTTTAACTTTATAAGAAATTGCCAAACCTTTTCCAAAGTGGCTGCACCATATTACCCTCCCACTGGCGATGCTTGAGAGTTCCGTTGCTCCATCCTTCACTGTACTTAGTATGGTAGGGGTTATTAGTTTTACCTATTCTAATGGGTGTAAAGTGGTCTCTAATACATTCTTAATGCACACTGTACTTACCTTCCTGCCCATTATTTCCAACTACAATGTAATAATTATCTGTATAATGTCTGTTTCCTCTACTATGCAGAAAGCTCCAAGATCATTTGTTTTCTCTCAGATGGTACTTGGCAAATAATGGGTGCTCAATCAATTTAAGTTGAATAAGTGAATGAAAATTGACATTTGAAATGTTCACAGCAACAAAATAGCAATAATACAGGATTCCAATTTCAAAGAAACTTGACTCTTTTCTGTGTTAATTCTTAAGGTGTTTTTTTTTTTCTATAAATTTTGTTTCATTGTATTGTGTTGTAAAGTTTCTTCCCTCTTCGGTTGTAATTTCCCTGAAACTGGACCTCAAGGAATTCAATTTTTCTTACTATTCCTTGAGTGTCTAAAGGTTCTGTTCGTAAATGGTTGCAGAAGAATATAAAAAGAGGGTCTTGTCCACCAAAAATTTACACTTTAATTGTCAGTGACCAGGTGCAATATGTAGTATAGAAAAAATAAAATGTAGGAGCTCTGGATAATAGGTTCAGCCCGACCTGTCCCCTTGATCAAAAATGATGGCTGCTCTTAGCCCTGAGTTGTTTCTATTTACCTTTCTGAAGTTATTTAACTCAAGAATCATACTGGATGGTCTTTTAAGTTATAACTAGTCTTCAAGTTATAATATGATGGCATTTGAATAACTCTGGAAACATCAATGAAATGCTTAATAAACACTGGTTACTATTACCTCTATATACATTCTGTGTGTTTCATTAACTCATCAACAGGTATCTTCTGGGCACTTAAGTGCTAGACACAGTGCCAGGTTCTGTAGATACAAAGTTTATTTAGCTCTAGTCTCCACCCACAACAAACTGGAACAGAGACAAGAAAATCGACATTTCCAGGATGCTTTGATGGAGGTAAGCACAGGGCTTTTTGGAAATCGAGATGAGAGGCTCCTTATCTAGATGGCACGGAGAATGGGGGTAGGAAAGTTGTAAATTGGAGAAGGCTTTCCGGAAGAGGTTATATTTAAATTGAGTTTTAAGAATGTGTAGGAATTGGCCAAAGAAGTGGTTTCCTGGAGAACAGCATGCTTATTTACAAGATGTAGTCTTGACTATTTTAATTTAACATTTGTTGTTATCATTACATACCTACTGTAAAATCTATATACTTCATTTTTTAAATTCTCACCTGAGGACATTTTTCCATTTTTTGTTCAGATAGAGTGGGAGCGAGAGAAAGGAAGAGAGACAGAGAGAGAGAAACATCGACGTAAAAGGGACACATCGAGTGGCTGCCACCCGCATGACCCAACCAGGGCCGGGACAGACTGCAACCTAGGTACGTGTCCTTAGCAGGAACTAAACCCAGTTCTCTCTGGACGCTCTAATCACTGAGCCAAATCGACCAGGGCTACATACTTCTGTAGATCACTGTTGTCTTGTCCTAAGTTAAACATTATTAGAACAGAAAGTTCTCAAAGTTCTAGTTCACTTTTTCACAAACCCCTAAAACAAACAAACAAACAAACAAACAAACAAAACCACTCACTGGATAGTAAGATCCAAACACTTAATGAGTATTCACATCCTAACACCTTATTAGGTATAATACACATAAATTAGAAAAAATACATTTTTATTTCATTCTTAAATAAGCACACTTACATGTTAATGAGCTGTCTGCACCTGTTGGTTACTGCACAACTTCTCAAACCTTGGACTCAGACAGGATAGTCCCATCTTTATCCTGCTGTACAGTGATTTTCTTGCAGCACTTGCTTTTTATCACAGCAACCTCAGAAAACACAGCCTTTCAATGATAGTGAAAGAAATGTATCACAATTTAATGTTGAAGCTGTGAACTCCTTGGAGCCAGTAGTTCACTCCATGTCTAACAGATGCCACTGTTTCCCTCGAAGATTTAAACAAACTATCCTGCACTTGGTGAGTTTGCTGCAAACTCTGGGGTGCCTGACTACACAGTTTAGGAAACTTGGCAGACAGATGGTTGATGATGCCCAAATTATCAGAGACAAAGAATAGGAAATGCAGATAGCTCATGCAGGAAGAAGGCATGGGTCCAGTGAGAACTGGGCTTTGCAAAGCTGTTGCCTAAAGAACTCAGTTTAACCTGTGTTAGGTCTATTAATCCTCCAGGCAACCCCATATGGAGGTATTATATCCCCATTTTAGAGAAAGCCTCCAGTCTTACTCATGATTTCAGATCCATGATTTAAACCCAGGATATCTGGCTTCTGTGGCCTCCCAAACAAAATGAAAACAAACGTTTAGAATTAACTACCAAAATAATAGCACTCCTTGTATATACACACAGGCTTTCTTTAAAATATCTATATAATATTTTTACTTAAAACCTTCCTTTCTCTGAATTCCTCGTGAAAAGAATAAGGAGATGAAGAAGTGGGTAGGAATATTAGAGAACAAAATAGTGTAGGAAACATCTATAGCCTTTTATAATCAGTCAGTAAAATACATATGAGAGCACAAGTCTATTTTTAACTGGCAACAAGACTGAAATAAATCATTTAAATACAGGAGACTGACTTCCTGACCTATTTGTTCATTATTTGTGATAATAGTGGAAACTTTGAGTGGACTTTGTTCTGACATGGGACTTTATTTTCCACACGAAGGCTAAGAGACAAATCACCACACTGCTAGTTGGAAACCATACTTCAACAAACATCCATCAAGAAGGGCACTGGGCTAGGTACTGGAGTGGGAGTGGGGGCATTGGATGGCCTAACACAGAGATCACAATCTCTTCTCAAAGCTTAAGTGAGGTATGTAAATGAATGTTCAGACCACCTTCATTCATATTAACTCAAACAGGAAATACCTCAAATGTCTACCAACTGGAAAATAGATGATTATAGTATAGTCACACAATGGAACTCTGCAAAGCAAGAAAAAACAAACTACTAATACACAGCAATGAGGATGAATCTCAAAAATGCCATGTTGTGCACAAGACTCCAGATGCAAAAAAGATATATACTCTGTGATTCTGTTGATATGAAGTTTTAATGCAGGAAAAAACGAATTGATGGTTATGGACGTTGGAAGAGTGGTTCACACAATGAATGGGAGTCAGTAGGTTCTGACTAGGAAAGGACCTGCAAGAACTTTCTGTATCTTGATCTGAGTGGTGATTATAGCAGTATATACATAGGTAAAAATTCAGCAAAGTGTGCACTTAAGATTAGTACATGGTATGTTTACTATGTGTTTAACTAATAAAATACAGGAAAACTAGCCAAGAACAAATGATTAAAAGGAAAATAAAGGATAAAAGAGTTAGGCTCTATTGCAGTGTTATTCAATAGAAATATATATATGATAATAAAGTATATGTAATTTAAGTTTTTCTAGTA